GCGGCCGTGTCGAATGCTTGTTCGGTGAACCGTTGGTGGTGCTGTTCGTGCAAAGTGCGCGGCCACGTGGCGCCAATTCGATCTCCGTCGAGTCGGGTCGCTACGGGGCAGGGCTCGAAATAAGTGTCGGTCACAATCTCAGGTGAGTCGTAGCGGCGTGCTGTGACCACTGCGTCAAGCCTTTCACCAGTTCCCCGCCTTCATGTGCCACTCACAGCAGGCCGTGTGGGACTGTGGATAATGTACAACTCTGTGGGATGTCGAGCGTGTTCTAAATGGTATTTTCTGGAAGGGTTGCACTTTAAATATATATCTGAATACCAACACCCAGTGCAGAAACACCGGGGCAAACCGAGTATAATCGTTGGCGATCCCCAGCGGGAATATACGGAGCGTGAGCGAGAGACACATACGAGAGACCACTTGTGAATTTAACAGAAGGTGGCCAGGGATCGTGTATGAAAGTTCGGTTCTTCAAAGTGACGCAGGCCCTGATTAAATCGGTGTCTGAGAAAACAAAATCATGCAAGAGTAAAAAAGGCAACTTATTTTGGCACTGGTTTGATTTCAGCCATGTTTCATTTCCAGCCACGGCTAACATCAGTGGCGATTGATATATTAAATGGTCATTGTGCCTTCCCCACCTCACCAACAGGCACTGACCAGAGCCGTGAAGTATGGTCAAAAAACTGCCCATGAATGACGTGGCAGGGCCAGCCCTTGCATCCAGCATCGGATGAACACAGGGCTGTAAGTTATTATAATCAAACGTAATATTAGCGACCAATGTCGTTAATTACAGCGCAATTATTTAACGATTAACATCTAGTTTATGTGTAAACAATGGATAATTACGATGGAATTGCTTTGTGATTTAAGTTGTGGCTCGTTGGTATTGCGTAAATTAATTGTATAATACTTAATATGCAGGAGCATGCATGCAGAATTGGATAACCAAGAACATGTGTTGCCTTAGCCCTGCTGCAACCATAACAAGCCACGAATAAGTAGTATATTACTTACATACCGTTGCTAATGGCCAATTAATCAAATCTTGTCATATAAAAAATGAGAAAGGCTAATTTAAGAAAACACTATTTAAACAAAAGTGATTTTTGCTTTATATTCATTTTTTCTTAACAACGTCATATTATCCAGGCATTTTACTTTTTGAGGGTGTGTGACGCATTGCAAAGTTAAATATCTTCAAAGATTTCTCGAATAAGTTTTTCATGAATAGAACTTTAAAGACAAGCCACGGTGCGATTGTGGCCATGCAGTCGAAACTATGGATCGTACATTAAACCACTGTAGTCTGCACTCCTTCAATTAAGGAGGAATAGCCAGACTACATGAACTCTCTTTGTCCTGAAGCCCTCTCGTCGTGGCTAACAGACCTCGACATTGACATTTAGCTCCCGAACATCTTGCCATATAAGAGGTGGCCGAGGTGGCTCAGAGCAGCCATTCACAATGCAACTGCTCAGGTGTAATTAGTTTGATGGCCTAAGGCCATCAGATTAACTCCGTCCAATGCCCAACGTTTTGCGTCCACATGCTGAGAGCTTCATGCCAAACAACAAGCGGTATGATGAAACAAAGATCCCCCGTATAGCCTTAACAGACTGTAGGGGCAAGTGCTGTTAGCGAGCACCTATGAAGGCCGGAACGGTAAACGAGGGGGTGGGTGGCCAGCACCACGCCCGACCGCCTTAGTCTCCCCAGTGGCAATGTTTTTATCCACCGCACCAGGCACTCATTTGAGGCTTAGTCGACCTAGGGGAGGCCCAGAACCGGTTCAGATAATCGTCACTGGTGTTGGCCGTGAGCGGGAATCGAACCCGGGTCGCCAGGTTCATAGCGCAGCGCGCTAACCGCTACACTACCGCTCCCCACAATGAAACACACACACACGCACATCGAGGATCAAGAAGACCACACGCAGGAGCATCCTATTGAACTTGCTTTTGTACTTCATAATCTCATAGCAGAGTCTGTTGGAAAGTGTGATCCCTGCTGTGTAAAGAATATAAAAACAAGGGCGCTTGAAAAATTATTCAGAAGACCTGACTGAAGAATCTCGTCCGCAGGCATTCTTTGACACTCCGGGTTGCACCGCACGGCTCTGCAAGATTTCCAAATGGAATCTTATTCTCACAACACGTTGCCAATTGCGTAATTAGAGGTGGTCTAGGAAAAAACAAAAAAGACAAAAAAAAGAATGGAGTGCTTGTTTTAATTAGGCCCTCCTGCATTTCCTCCCCGCGGCCCTAACAGCCACCAAAATTTTTATGATCGGAATAAATCACAGCCTTTAAGCAATGCTTTCACGTGCGCGCACGATATTTTCTGCATTGAGCATCTATTCATAAACACGAGCGATCGTTCCTTCACATCAAACAACCGTGTCGCCTGCGCAGATATAAAGTGAGGAACTATCAGTTGCTGTATTTCCAGACGTGATTTAGTGGCCAATGTTTCTCTTTGACAACTGCACTGAGTCACACACAATTTTCTATTACATGTTATTCTAGTTAGTCACCATGTTTTATGGAGCACTAGCGATTTTCATTTGATTGTAACGTATTATTTCCAGAGTAAGTGCAGCAGGCAATAGAATACGCTTGTGACTCATTCTAGATAACGCGGCTACGAGAATTGGTTCCATGTATCCCAGTAATGTGTAACAACTACAAGTGACATTAAAATATGCGCAGATTAATACCCAATGGCAATACGTGTGTGTGCGTGTGTCTCTCTCTCTTGAGAACCGAGAGAAAAAAATTAGTGTACATTTTTTTTATATGGCTGAAATAAAACAATTATGGGGTGGAACGAGTGGGACAGCGGTTCACGCACCAGGCCATGAACTGGGGAAATCCAAATTTGATTGCCAGCCATGGCTCAATATCAGTCGTGATTGTTATTGTGACGGCGCTTTGAGTGGCAGATTTGTGCCCAAAAAAAACATTTACTTGACATCTGAACCACTCCCGAGCGCTCCCACCCCCCTCCCCTTCGACAGCTTGTAACGACCATCGTGGTGAAGTATGGTCAAACAAGCCCCCCCCCCCCCGTCACTGACGCAATGTGCTATGGTATTCGTTCAGCAGTAGATTGTACATGATATACATATACTGATATCAAATTGTCCCATTTCCTGCCGTTTGTCAATAAATTGTGTGGTGGCCATAAGGGGTGTGGGTGGGGGGGGGGCGGTGTTTATGTTATATTTTTTAGTTGTATTAATATTTAACAAGTAATTAATTACTTGTACAGCAGAATAGTGTAATGGGATGAGAGCAGTCGATAAGAAGGATTGGTAGCACATGCTGGACAATGACGACGCGTGAAATAAACGATGACGAAAGTGACAATGAGTGGGCTCATGATGGGCGAGTGTGACGAAACGGGCAGTGAAGTTGGCAAGAGGATTGGTGGAGTTAGCGATGGGGAAGGGAGGGTGAAGGGGAGATTGAGTGAGTGAGTTTTAGGGGACGAGCGAAAAGTGGACAGTGAGGCCGTTTGTTCGACGTGTAGGGGCAAGCCTGTTCCAGTGTGAGGGTGCCATGAACGAGAGAGGAGGGGATCGTGATTGGGCACAGGGAGGAGGTGGGACACAGAGACAGCTGGGATTGTGAGCGGAGAGGGCGAGAAGGAGCGTGGAGGGAAGCGAGGCAAGCGAGAGGATAATTTGGGGGCAAGACCGTGGAGAGATTTATAAACTCGGGTGAGGAATTAGAAAAGGCAACAACAGTAGACCTGTAGCCAGCGAGGCTGGATTAGGAGAGTTTGATGTCTGGGAGTGGTTTAAATACATAGGAGGGAATTCTTCTTCTTTCTTATGGCATTGTGAAAAGCAACAGTTTTTTTTAATTTTCTCTATGATCGTCATGAATGAACGCAAAGGTTCCTTATCCAGTCCAATGAGGTGGTTGACGCAGTGTGGGTTTCAGCGATACCGCCAGGATGTGCATGGATGGAGCGTTCATCGGTGATGTGGTCGATCTTCCATTTATGGAACGTTGTACGCGCATCTGCCGTGTCGTGTTCGAGCGCGGTTCAGCGTGGTCCATAGTCGTCGTGGCAGAGAGAATCCTGGTACTTCCACCACCGGATCGCCAATGATGTTTTTGTTTGCCACCTCCATAGCCGCCCATGATTCAGACCACCGAATGACGGCGTCTTTATTTCCGGCTGCTGGAGCAGAGGCGTGTATCCAGAACGGTTTCCTGGATTTTAGCCTTGGGCGTGGGGGTTCCTTTAGATCTTGATGGAGCGGCAGAGTCAAGTTTTTCATTGTCCCGTTGTACTCCCGTGTCGTCGCATCATCGCGTCGGATGTTGGCCGGAGCGATATTCGCCAGCACTGGAAGCCACGGCCGCGGAGTAGACTCTAGGGAACCGCCGATGATACGAAGCGCGTTGTTAATTTCGGCATCGACAAGATTCGTGCGGGGGCTTGCGCCCCACACACCGGGGCACGGCACTCCGCAGTGGAGTGAACAAGGGGCCTGCGTCGATATCTTCAACGTGCTGGCATCGCTTCCCACAGGTCGTTCCTGCAAGTTTCTGAATAACATTCGCTCGTGCTTTCGTTTAGCCTTTAGCTTGTTTGAGATGGTGACGGTAGTTAAGCGTCCGATCCAGGATAACTCATAGATACCGAGGGTGTTCATCATGCCTTAGCTTCCCTCCGAGTATGAGGGAGTTGCAGTAATCTAGTCGTGTGAGGAATAGGGAGTGAATTATTCAGCCGTAATTGTGCAAATTTTGTGTGAAGTTTAGCCATACTTCACCACTTTCACTGACCCGCCACTGACCAGCGTGGTGAGGTATGGTCAAACAACCCCCAAGACCTGCACGGCGTGGGGAGGCCCTCGTCCAGCAAACAGCGTATCGACAAACTCGTGCCGCAGCACACCGCACGCGTGATCACGTGCACCCCATCGATCGCCCGTCTTGTGACGCGCTGCACCGCCGCCCCTGTTTCGTGCGCAGGTGCTCTCGGAATGCGTCCCTCAGCTGCTCCCTCTCGTGAGGATGGCCGAGCACAGCGACATCGCCTTCACTCTGCTGGGAGAGCTGGCCGAGAGGGGGCCCGCCCTGCTCGTCAGATCACTCGCCATCGCCGGGGCAGCTGCGTCGCCAGCAGCCTCCGCAGCAGCACCAGCGGAAGCAGCAGCAGCAGCAGCAGGAGCAGCAGCAGGAGCAGCAGCAGCAGCAGGAGGAGCAGCAGGAGCAGCAGCCGAGAGGGGACCGGCACTCCCGGAGAATCCCTCGGCCGACCCGCCTCGAGGTGCTTCGGGGGACACCAGCAGGGCCGCCGGAGGCTCCGGAGGTGGCGAGGGAGCCGAGGGAGCGGACGTGGAGGGACGGGGCCTCGACAGGGCCCTGCGCGAGGTGCTGCAGGCATCCGCGTGGTTTCCCGCGCGCACGGGGCAGGCGGCCAGGGTCCTTGGGGTCATCGGGCGAACGCACCAGGTATGGATTTTCTCACGAATGTTTCTTTTTTTACTTCAATATTTTTGGGGTATTCCCCCCCCCCCCCCGCAAATGTTGTCCCGATTGTCATGAGACAATAATTCGGATCACTCCCGGAGCAGCGCAACCCTTCCTTCGTGTTAAAGAATGGCACGTAAAAGTGGATTTCGCAGGGCTACCTCTGAAATTATATATTTTTTCATTGGCACAGCAGAGGGAAAGCACTTTCCCACCCACCCTGAATATGCGTTGGCAGACGTGTGTGAGCGTATGCATGCATGCGTGGCCTTATGCACATTTTGTGTATTAGGGAAGGTGTGGTTCATGTGCTACGCAATAATCCTCACAATCCAGATCCAATTATAACAATTAGTATCTGAACCCAAATGGGCATCCATTGCATCAACTCAGCCTAAAACAAGTACCCGCTACAGATAACGGTGGCCATGATTGGTCCTAGCCACAACAGAGCCTCTTTCTCCATGTCTTTTGTAAAATAGATGCTCGCGGACATCACTCGGCCCGAAAATCCATAAAGCTGAATGTGCACATGAATACATACATACATGCACGGCTGTTCATGCGTCCGTTTTTTCATTAGGAGCGTGCGGTGTGCATTTGAATGATATTGGCTCACACAATGAAGTGAAACTAAACTAAGCAAAATTTGTACTAAACTATTTTTAATTTAACAGGTAAGGCCCACTGGGCTATGTAGCTATTTTTCAGAAGCGACCTGGCCACAAATGAGAGCTCAACGAAGTAGCTAATCGTGTGGACATTGCTTGCAGCCAAATACTCATGTTTCTAAATGTGGAAGGAAAAACCGAGGACCCAGAGAAAAATGAACGTGACCACGGGGTGAACACACCACGGGGTGAACACACCGTGGTCACGTGTCGAGATCAGACCCACGACCTCCTGTATACAAGGCGAGGTAGTTGACATCTCGCAACCGTGATGTTAACATAATGAATGCCAGGAGCACCTCGGGTGCTCTCACCATCCAAGGAAGGGAGCACGTGACATTCCATTCGTTATCGTTCCTCTCGCCGGCGTGCTTTAGTGGAAACACCTACAGTATGGTGGCTACGTACGGCGCGAAAGAAGTTCAACATCCATACATACGTATCCATTGTGCACAATACTCTATCGCACATGTGGCTGTTCGTGCATGTGTAAGTAATACGCATGTACAATTCACAGGAGCCTCTGTCCCTTGGGAAGCAGGAACTAGAGCACAGGTCCTGCAACAAAGAATGCCCTTGAAAGTAGGTTCGGTCAGGGCCAGAACTGAGTGAAGTATTCCACACATCTCAGTGGGCGAAACACGGCCAGTACATTGCAGGGGCGTCGTGGTAATGTACCGCGTGGGTGATAATAATTGCCGACGAACGTTGACGTGACCCAGGGCTGCCCGCGCTGTCAGGGCGCACGGCGCGAGCGGACTCGGGACAAATACGGCACGTTTTCAATCAATTTTTTTAGAAACACGATAAGTACTTTTTATTTCCCCCCCCCCCCTCCCCCCACCGCGAGCGTGACTCAGGCACGGGGCAGCCTACGCGCGGCGCTCGGTGTATATCGTTGTAATCTCTCGCGCGCGCGGGCTTGCTGACTCCGCCACCGCCGCTGTGTGGGCGCGCGAGCGAACGGATTCGCTTGCACGCGTTGGGATGCGGGGAGGCTTCGCGGGCAGTTCACCGGGCAAACATGCGAGTGACCCCCAATTCCGTTGCTGGCCTTCTGGCACGAAGTCGATGGCGTAGCTGTCGGGTGTGTCGGCAACGGCGGCGGGGGGACCCACGGGCCAGATGGGGGCTCGCCTGCGGGTCTACGGAGAAGGGGGCACAAAGTTCACCGCGGAATTCCCTCGTTTATTCACGGACTTGCTGGCCGCGATTTTGGCTATCCGCGAATCGCATCTGGAACTCTACGCGAATGCATCGAGAGAGAGAGAAAGTGATGGGATGAAGTGATCAAATAAAGTGATCAGATAAAGTGATGAGAGAGAAAGCTTATTTATGTATTTATTTAATGTTATTCATTAAAAAGATATGTTTTTGTAGGCCAATATCATTATCCGTGAAATGTGCTATTCACGAGCATCTCTCGAATGTAACCATCATGAATAACGAGGGAATACTGAACTATTATTTTTATTTTACCAGGTAAGGCCCACTTACCTATCTAGGCCATAAATGATAGGTCAGCAAAGTGGCTTATCATGCGGATATATATAGCAGTCAAATACTCTAAATGCATGTTTCTAAATGTGGAGGGAAAACCCGAAGGGCCCGGAAAAAAAATCCACACAACCACGGGGAGAACGTGCAAACTCCAAATGTACAGGTGTCAGGATCGAACCCACGACCTCCTGCATACATCTTGCCACCGGGGCACCCAGCAGGATTGGACAAGAGGGGGCCCCAATTTCATTCCGTGCACCAGCGCCCATGTCAACCATCCTACACCACTGGCACAGAAGTACCGTACAATAATGGATTTTGCTACAATGCCCTCTGCTACCCACCACTTAGCCTCTGACAACTGTTTTCGTGCATGATGGTCACCCCCTTTCGAGATCTCATGAGATGTGGTACATTCCGGGTGACATGGTCAAAGGCTGTATTAACATATGTGTGGGTGAATTCTCGTGTTTGTATATACATGTCAAGCATATTAGTCTGTCGTACCCATTTCTACGAAGCCTCATTAGACCAAATATTGACTCCTGAATTCCTTTCACCCGTGGTGTTGTTTTAAACTCCAGTTGTTCCACAAATCTGGCATTGTACCGAGTCGCAAAAGCGTTGGACAATGTCAAGTCCAAGGGTTGTGAGGAGGGTTTTTCAGCTCGAGTTCACCGAAAACAATGGCACTGAATGCCTGACTCAGAGTCTGGGAGAATAAGGCTTGGTCCTTGGAGAGAGGTGCACAGTTCAAAGATGACTGGTTCACGAAGAAAATGATCTCCATCGCTGCCTCAGCTGGGTGGTGGTGGTGGGGGGGGGAGTGAGGGAAGTGGAGAGGGCTACGTGGCCCCAGTGTTGGTTACTGCCACGGTTTGAACTGTGGACCCCTATGGAATCATATGTGCCCCCTTTTGGGGTGGCACCTGCGACGGAATGAATGCAATTCAATATCCGTCGCAGTATTCGTTGCCTCTGTGGCCGCGTGGGCAAGAGCTGGCCTTCAAACAAAAGCAACCTGACATCTGTGAAAAATTATGGCATGACTGTGAAATAGAGCTTTACAGCTCATCGGATTCCTCGAGTGTAAATACATTTTCTTATTCTGAAACGGAAAAAAATAACACTCGTGGCTATTGAATTTGGGTACGTGGTGGACGATGCTAAGAATGCTGTGGCAGAAAAGGGTAAGTGGCTCGGCATACGTAGAGTGCGATAGGAAAGTGTGGCGGATGCAGTCTGGTTGAGGGGGAGGAGGGTCGGTTACCGAAGGCGGGTGTCACAGCGTCGACCCGAGATCGGCGACCAAAGGGAAGGCCCAAAGCCAGACGATGGTGTCACGTGAGATCAGACCCTGGAGGTTGGCCTGTCGACTTTGTTACCTGTGAGGGATTTATATGAAGAAACAATTCAAATATGAAGTGTGTTGGCATCCACAGCATTGGCCACGGTGGCCCTTTGACTTTATTGAATCGTTCAGATGAATTATTATCTCTTAGAAGTTCTGGTTGTGTTTGCGGGTGATTTTATGCCGAGAAAAAATTCCTGGTGTGAATTAAGTAAAATTAAAGACACATTTTATAAGCGTAGGATGGACGGTACTTAGTTGGTGTTCAAAGACCCAAACATTCAACACAATTATTCAGAATTCCTACATTGATAAGGTACGTAAATACACAAGTTTTAAATAAAAGCATTGGGTGCAGATATCCCATTGAGGAAAGCCAAATGTTTATGTTTTCAGGGCCAAGGTTAGGTCAAAAGTTTCAGGATATGTAGGTTTATTTTGACCAGATCAGGACCTCCTGAAAGAATTATTATTGAAAATAGTTTTACAATTTTATGAGCACTCGGACATAGCAAATAAATAGTAGTTCAACAAGTATAAAGATTTTTACTCCTTAAGAACAATTACATTATATCATAAACCAAAAATATAATCAATTGAAACTCAGTCATTGTTATTTATGAATCTCAGATTAATACATAAACAGATTTCCATGTATCCAGTAAACATTACATGATTTCTTTATCAATAATAAAAAAAATATTGCAATTGTTTGCATTCGTAAATCATGGCTCAACAAATCAACAACTTTCACGTATCAAAACCAAACAAAAGCTCTCTTAATCAAACAAAAAAAACCCCTTCATATTAAAACGAATTAGTTAACATCCCGGTTTCTCTGGAGTTCAGGAACGTCTTCATGGAGGCTTCCATCTTTGTCTCCGTCGGCTCGGAGACCTTGGCTTCAATTACGGGAGTGAGTGAATCCATGTGGCGTGCCGTCGTTTGCAAGTAATTGGCAGCAGCACGTATTTACAGGGCGCACAAATGTGTCTCTGTAGTCGACGGCCTCAACGCCAGATGTAACCAATGTCACGTGGGTTGTACGTCACCGCAGTGTGACTTTGCTACGGAGAACACCCGAATGCAAGGCAGGCGGTAGCCCCTGTTGGGTAACGTCTGGCATCGATTAGGGAGCTGTCAATTGCTGTGTTGTTATTCACAATTTTTTTGTATTTATTGCAGGAGCATGATTAAATGTGTTCATTGCAATGACAGAGCACCAATACTGAATCTACCAGAAGCGACGTGGAATGTTCTAGAGCAAATAGAATGAAGTGTTTGCCACAGAATATTGTTCAATATTTCTTCAAGGATATTTTACCATTTTGTTTTTCAGTTGTCACAGATTTTGTTTATAATGTCTTGGGAATTTTCAGGGGAAGCTCATGACGAATTTGGATTTTCCCAAATTTTACTCATATTTAGGAATCACATTAGGCCATTACATTTGTTTTGTTAAAATGTCTACAAGTTTGCAATTTTTTTTATGGGTTTAGTTACAATGATGAGTCATTTATGATTTCATGAGGAAAGTCTCACTACCGTGTAAAGATTTATTTAAGAGGGTCCTAATTTACAATCAGAATTAGAATATTTATTTATATTGGAGGAATCCGATGAGCTATAAAGCTCCTTTTCACAGATGTCCAGCACCAATGTTTGTCAAATTCCTGTTTACTAACAACTCATTTTGATTCGTGATAGATAACGCATTATCATAAATATAGTAAGCACATGTATGTATGTACGTTAAACTTATTTGGCGCCGTACGCAGCCAACCTTGCTAATCGGAGGTAAGGGGGAAAGAACAACAAACTGAACACAAATAGCAGATCACACGAGTGAATAATGGTCATTGATCCTCAAATATGGGCTCATGAACCCGCTTGCTGCTGCACTGTTTTCTGGCCAACTCTCAGCACAGCAGATATGGGAGACTTCAAAGAAATGTAATGTGATCCACTGCTTGATAACAGCCGATCATAATTAGTAAATAATCATCATGACTACAAAAACAATAACCGCCGTTCACCACTGAGTGGCGGTGATGTCACCACGGTACTTGTGCCAGGCTAGGTGCACTTTGAGGCCACGTGAAGTGTCGAAGGCTCGCTGGCAGGAGGTTGTGGAACAGACCCATGTGCCGTGGGTTGGCTGACTGAGATGACTGGCAGATGCACCAACTGTGCTCCCCACTATGCCAGCTTACTTCTGAACACTCACATTGTCATTTATATACAAATGAATAACATTATAGCTTTAATAAAACACGAATACAGTATGGCCTAATCTATTTAAAACCTTTTTTTTAATAACAATAATTAGCAATGCATTTCCCCAATTTAACAAACTACCCAAAAAAACTATTTTCATGGGCTAATACAAACCCTAAAATTAAACACATTTAAAAATAACACTTAACACATTTTTCAATACATTCCAACAATAATGACGAATTTCCGGTGCGCTCGAGGGAACGTTACTATGCATAGCAGGCTTATACGCAATGCACTTGTTAACATCCCAATGAAAAGTAAACGCTGAAAGAATGCAATAGACCCACTGAATATTTTATTTTAATTATCTTTCTCCACAAATATTGTTTTTACATTAATTGCTTGCTCATACAAACGAGGCTGAAACAAAAATAAGCCTCCGACGTTACTGGGGGGCCCTGCCACCGATGCGATAATACCCGTTTAGTTTATAATCGCAAAAATAAACGCGGCGAAATTGCGGCAATTTGTTTAATATGATTAATTTTAGTTTTACAATACATGGTTAAGAAGCATAATAACCCTGGTGAAGACATCGCAAAAAAATAGTTGAGAATGACGTTGTTAAAGCCAGCGAGAGATTATTTTATTTTATTCACGTTGGAATATGTTTTGAGTTCTACGAGGCATTTACACTTTGTCCCATGTGCTGTGCAATGGACCTTGAATACCCCGTGACTTCACAGACATAGTCCATTGTGCACCAGTACGGTGGGCCAAACCCGACACTTTATACAAAGTTAACATTCAGAAACAATAATAGGTTTCTTCTGTAAATGCTTTACATAATTTTTCTCCTCTTGGGAAAACTGCCACTTGGCATTAACGGGGAGATGGATGACGATGGACCATAGCACCGTTGAGTATTCTCCGAAGAATCTTAAATAAAATTACATTTAGTTCTGATAAGATTCCAAAGTGTATTTCTTCACTATACATAGCTCTGTAAATAGCAGTCTGCTAGCATTTACAGAGGCCTGCATTTGGGGACGTGGGAGGGGGGACATAACGGCCATCTGGTATACATGGAAATTTCCACTTTCTTCTGGAAATTCTCCTTTGTGTTTGTAAATTCACCTTTTCACGTCAATCCATCATGGGGCCCCCGGTGGCTAAGCAGTCCGTACGGCTCACACTTGTTACACCCCCGGGTCACAGGTTTGAGCTCTCGACTTAGCCGAGAGCGAAGAGAAGATATGGATCAAGCCTTCGTATGGCTTATATTTACCATCCGAGACTGGAATTGGTCTCCGACATCTGAATAGCAGGATACTCCTGACAAAAAAAAAAATACTCAGTGAAGCCTTCCTGCGTACCCACAGCGCACTCCTTTTCGAATGTCTGCCACCACCCGATCCTCTTCGACTTTGAAAGCCAAGCAGGTGTGAGCCTGCACGGCGAGTGGCTTGCACGGCTTGCCACCGTGTGTAAAACAGGTCGCTTCAGGGCTGCGGTGCTATCAGGGGCAGCGCAGCAGAACATTCGTTCCCGTGTCTGTGCATCCCTTTTTTTTCTACCGGCCTGGTTAAGTTTGGTCAAATGATCCCCACGACTCGACAACGTGGGGGGGGGGGCAGAGACCCACATCCATGAGCATCGACATTTGATTTAAAACTGGAATAGCCCTCGCTCAGCTATGCGGCTCTTATCTTTTCGAACACGTGGCCAGCAGTGGATGGGCAAAAGCAGCTGTACTCGTACATGCGTTGTTCACAGTACATTATTATCTTTCCTTATGAAAAAAAGAAATTCTCCATCGTCGCACATCGCATTGAGATGATGCAGCAGGTTTAAGTCACTTGCATCGAGGGAGTGTTGTCCATTACTTCAAATTAGTAACTGGGTTAAATAGTGTATACGTATAATGATAAATAAGTGGCATGACCTGGGTCTTTATACCCACTACCCAAGAAATCCCTTGCAAATTGCAAATGTAAACGTTTCGTTTGCTGTGCCTTCACTATGGAGTGTCAGCGTAAGAGATTGCGAATGGTGGCCCAGAAGCATGACTTGTGTGAAAGTAGGTACATTGTCTTGATTTGAAGCTTTCGTGACTGCAGGAATCCATACTCTTTGGTTCTTTCGGTAAAGTCGCGTAGGTAGAAAAAAAATAATTATAAATTTTTTTTTTATTTTATTATAATATTTTTTGTTTTATTTTATTTCATTTTTGTACCTACGTGACTTTACCGAAAGAACCAAAGAGTATAGGTTGAGTATCTTCTATCATTATGAAATCAGGTCAAAATGCCGTATCGTATTGGATAATTGCATAGGTAAAGGTAACGCATCAAAAGTTGAAGGTGCAGGACGGCAATGTTTTGCGTCAGCGACTGTTGGCAGAAGAGCCTACACTAGAGGGAGCTCTAGAGAGCCCCTCTAGAGTGCCTTTGGCCTACTCTCCCATACCGGCCAGACGTCTTGGAAGTGGTCGGAATACCCAGGGGCGCAACTATCTATTTCACCGGGGATATGCAGGATACGGCTGTGGGCCCCCATCCTTTCCTCCTACTCACTTTACTGAAAGAGTTACGGATGTTTTTTTAACCCGTGTACAATAATACGCAGGCTATAACTATATATAATTGTCATATTCTTTAAAATCAAATTTCTTAACATTTTGTTACTCATATTCTTGGTTCTTTCGGTGAAGTCACGTAGAAGGGAAACAATAAAATAATAAAAATATAAAAAATAAAATTCTCACGACGTTTCGACTGCAACACAAGCAATCATCATCAGGTGTGAAAACCACATCAAGAAAATTTGAAAAAAGTTTTGCTGTTTTGTCTGATGATGTTCCAGTGCACGCCCATTCGGGCGTGCACTGGAACAAGCTGCAAGTATATGTTTGAGTACGTGTCTGTGGTTGACTGAGGACAGAGTGATAATAACGTTCAGGATCAGCTGAGGATATTCTCATGACATCCCAGCAGCTGAAAGGTGGATGAGTCTGGAAAGGTGTCGCTGTGAAATTGTACGTGAGCGCTGTGTTGAATTCTAGTGTGATTTTAAAATTTCAGATCGTTCTGGGACCAGCGATGTTTGTGTTTCATCGAATGTGACTGGACTGACAGCTGTTGAGAATACAAATTGGAGATGGTGTACTTTACAAATAATCCGAGCTTTTGGGATGTGTTTCTTCTCAATTTGAATCCTTGTCAGTACAAAGCTTTACCCATAACCCCCCACTGATATAAAAACATACAATCTATATCATTGTATATTTATTTATGATGTCCACATTAACGCTGACGTAGAGCACGTGTATTACAGTAGAATTTTAACTCGCTACAACATCAGCATGAGGCCTCAGGGTCACCAACAGCAGAAACATCAAGCGACCGACACGATAGATCAAGCGATGTAGTATCAATTATTCAGAGAATTCATGTCCAAAGTCAAGAGAAGGCAAGGTTACCACTAGCAGTGCACACGGCAAACCCACGCCCTGGTGTGCGTGAGTCTACCAAATCCTCTGCTCTTGGTGAGATTGCCCTCTCTCATTTTAGGAAAATTAAAACATGAAGGAAACTAAAAGATGATTTTTTTCATTTAAAAATAAATCTGTATATTTCAGCGGTCCGACAAAAAAAAAACCTCGGCTCCCCGCATAGAAAATGTTTACTCGCAGTGGCAGCCACAAAGCTCGCTGGCAGCGTTAATGTGGACCAATTAAACCTTGCTTTTTTTAAAAATTTCTTGTTCCTGCTGCGCCACGCAGGACAGGGCGCGCCAGTGCCTGAACCACATGGTGTCCCTGCTGTCCAGCACGGAGCACACGTCACACCACGCCCTCCTGCTGGAGATCAAGAGCATCACCGACAAGTTCGGCCTCCTGCGCATCCACGGCCGCGAGGTCTACCGCATGAGCAACGGCTACGCGGCCATCGCCTCGTTGCTCGCCGGCCAACTCGAGAGGGCCGCCCTCGAGGCAGACAGGTGGGCTGGGCTTCACGCGCCGGGATCACGGAGAGGGAGGTTCTCCTCCAACGCTCGTGCGATGGCGGTGACCACGATTGTCGACGACGATTGTCCTTTACACCACCCCCCCCTCCGCCCCGCCCCGCACATCCGATCAGCATGGTTGGCTACGTACGGTGCGAAAGTAAGTTCAACGTGCATGCATGCGTTCTTCCTCGTCCCGAGCACCTTTGGATGCACGATTGCCCAATATCATCACCATCTGTCACAGTTTTGAGCTGCCACAATCCAAATCATGCCCGTGCATTAATTGATTTCACCGCTGTGGCTTTGGGTTTATTGCACCTCTGGGACGCATTCTTCCCTTTCCCTCGGCTTTAATTGCGTGACCAACTTTGTCCATCAGCCTCAATCCCTTCTCGTAATGTGTTCTGCCCAAGGCCACTCACTTTCCTAACAAGTCAAAAAAGATTTTCCTGATTGGCCATTTGTTTGCTGATGCTTGCGTCTCAATGTAATTCCAAGCGTGATTGTTCCTTCAGGGTCAATATAATGAGTGCAGTACAACTTTGGTTGGAATTTTTTTTTCGTCTCACCGTTGCTTTCGGGTGGACAAGTAGATTTTTTGAGGAAAAAAAATGTCTAGAATGTTTAAATCATATCACAAAATAAAAAAATCACCTTACAAACAGAGTGCAAACAAAACCTACGAATTTACAAAAATGAATGCTGCACTTCAGATGAAATGCCTTCAACAACGAACGGGCTTTGGTTATTAATATCCGAGGCAATTTGTTATATGCCTGGAATGACTAAGACATTCTTGCAGGCTTGTAAACGTATGCTTTACAATCCATATCGGATACACTTGAAATGTTGCAGGATTTGTTTAATGGAACATTCATGAGGGCTTTTGTTCGTGTGATGGGATTAGGGTTTTTTCCCCGAAATGCTAAAAACTTTTTTTTTCTTTTTCAGCATCATTAGTTTAATCTCCCTCTGGAGAGAGTGACAAATTGCTTTCGTTATTATTATTATACCCTGTACAGTGCATATGTGCATGTATGTAAAAGTCTATACAAGCAAAGGCGATAAGCCCTGGATTAACCTCGTGATGGACTAGAAACTAAGAGAGAGAACACGCTTTGAAGGGGTCACTGAAAGGGAGACAGAGGGATGAAATCGATTCGCAAGATCGAGGGAGATTGGATTACAGCTGAGTTTGTCCTTCATCCAGCAGTGGATTACAAATTGACCGTGTACATACGCAGTTAGCCTAGTTCTTATTGGTGTTTTACTCGAGGCTTCTGGCTGAATGTATTCTCACCGACTTGCAAATTAAGGTAATTGATTTATTGAAATAATAATAAACACTGGTAATGGTAAGTGTTTGATCTCATGTTATAGAAATATAAATAATGGGGAGGTTATTGAGACAGGCATTGGAGAGACACCCAGAGGTCGGCGACCGATTTGGAAATCAGATGTCGACTCTTCAGCTGGACACGTTAAAGCGGCGCTGACAAATCGGTGGTGGCATCGTCAAAAGCGCTGGCCGCGACGACCTTCTTCACCTTGTGTACGGAAGAAGAACAAAAAGTCGCGTTACACTTCTCAAAATTGTGACGAGTGTGCGAGTCAATTTAAAGCTCGTGTGCAGAGTGCTCGGTGGGTGAAGACATTGCTAGGATTGCGAGAGATGGCAGCAGCTTTGGGGAGGCCTTCATCCAGCAGTGGACCAATCATGGCTCATCGTCGTGATGAAAACATACGCGGGAGATACTATACACGTGATTTCCCTGTTTCAGTCTGCTTGATGCCCATTGAGGATAATAATAGGCCGCATTAACTGAGCGATCTGACATGCGAATCGGATGAAGTCATGCCGCATTAGCAATGTGTGATGGGCGTTGCGGTACACACTTGCAGGTTCATTCCAATAATCCATCTATGCACACGTTCCAAGCAGATGGCTCCCACGTGGCTTCTGAGTTATAATTGCTTTATGCAGGGGGGTGGGGGGGGCAGGTTGCAAGTCCCAGCTTGCAGGTGCACTGGTCTTCCAGGGAACTTGAATATTATCCCATTGCGCGCGCGCGTGTGTGTGGTCAATGGGCTAATTGTCGCCACACTGTCGTGGTTTACAGCGGATGCCTCAAGACGTTTGTCGATGCTGTGATCCATTTGTTCCGCATTCATCTTCGGGCTTCAAGTGTCTGTCAGAGGTCTTGGACCATGATGGCAGTACGGCAAGCGGTTTAGCAATCCCGTCGGTGTAGAGCTCCAAATACTATCCACTCGCATGCACGGGGATTCTCTGTGCTAGCCTAGTTTCCTGACGAAATCGGAGAGTCTTGCATTGGGCTGTTTGGCAAGTTCCAGTCATGAGTGTTTCCCGTAAAGATGTACACATTTTGTCTACCCTGTAGGAGTGGCAGACTGAATCAACGGCTCCACTGGGCATTTAAACTTACACAATCTCCTGATTGCCTATAATCGTCGTGTCACTCGGCCAGATCAGAGAAAAAAGCATTCATAAGCAGAACTGCGTTTGTTGTCTCCATGATATACATGTTGAATTGGCTGGGCCTTGTAGCTCACATGCCCACCTCCATATGCCTGAGCAGCTTCTATTTGGCTGGCTAGAGGGGGCTCCACGGCCTGATGGATTACCAGACCAAATATTATTTAGCAGCATTTGTTTAAGCAAGCGAACTCTGGGCAGGTTTTGAATTTCTGAGTCTCATCAGCTAGAGGGAGGCTTGAAATCTAGTCAGAATGGTCGCGCTATGTCGCCATACAATGTTCCACAGCAATTATAGGATTTAAAGTTAGCAGGACATTGAATAACCACACACCCTCTGCTCACGTGGAGGAACTGGAGGAGTTTGGAATGCTGTGTTTGCCCAGAGCCTTTGACTATACTCGTAATACCACATTTAATGCGTGTGCTACTTTGATAAGGATAACATTTGATCTTCAAGGAGTCAATTTTGATAATAAACAGATTTCTTTTGGTAAACAATGTCAAATGTTTGACTTGACTGCCACTTTTTTACGTATTTATTTTCTTAAATATTGTTTGTTTACGTTGTCGTATGTGGACCTTTGACTTGGCAAGATAAAGAGATTTTGGGTGAAGGCCGTTGGAGATGTTGCAAGCATAAAACGTCACGTAGCACTTAAACGCTGTTATCAATTTCTCTAGTTTACATTTAATTTCATTTGGATCATATTATTTTTCTAAGCACCTCATTCCACGCGCCGCTAAGCTTCTCCAGCAGCCGCCCCGCCCCATCTTCTCCCGGCACGTGGAACGAAACGTCGGACGTCGTGCCGAACAACACGCGATAGCAACCTGAAAACAACGCCCGGAGGTGAGCCGGTACGAATTCACGTCCAGGTTGGCAGTGAGTGGGCTTCTCCATCACGGCGTCACGTGTATGCACGTGACGTCGTTTCGCCGTGACGTCGGGTAAGAGTGATGTTTTCCCTTCCACATCCCCCCCCCCCCCCCCCCGCAAAGCTGAAGGAGGTCCTTCCCACTCGCTTCCTGCATGAATCATGTGTTTATTTACAATGTGTGCCAAGACGCGGTCTTGGCTTTCATGCTCCAGGGAGCTCATGCTTGAAGCTGCTCCCTCCCCACTACCCCCAGAGAGGCCAAACAGGGTGAATCACCCCCGCTACAAGCCAAGGCCTTCCTGAGATTTCATGTTTTGGGGAAAAAAAAACCCAGGACGGATGAGTCTTATTTAGGAAATGCGATGAGGAATAGGTGACCGTTTTGAGTTTTTGGCTGCTATACATTTCCACGTGTTAAGCCACTTGATTGAGCTATCATTCGTGGCCAGGTCGCTTCTGATAAAGAGCTATATAGCTCAGTGGGCCTTACCTGGTAAAGAACAAAAATAGTTTAGTTTTATGAAATGATTTAGGGACGCTGAGAAATGGCGCGATGGTTCGCGAACTGGACTTGCAATCTAGAGGTGGTTCGTTTGATCTTCCAGCAAGGCGGTTTAAATAATGGCCAAGTTCTCAAATCTCCCACACCTCTTGTCTGCCCAGCGGTGCAGTTGGGTTCATCGCAGTTAGTCGATCGGCAGGTCACGTGCAGTGAGGTAAAGTTGTTGGTACTCCCACCTCTTCTGAGTCACCCGGCCAGTGTGGAAGAGTAGGCCTAAATAGCCCGCAGAGGGGGCCCTCTGCGGCCCTCCCTCTCGTCGAGGCACGAGCGTTCACCTTCTCACCGATGAGTGAATTAATTGGAGGCCTTTCATTATACGGTGCACGTACCCAATGCTGTCCGCTTGCAGCGAGTTTTAATGATTTGCCCTGTTGTGCGCACGGGATCACTGCTGCACTGCCGACGCACGCTCACTCCCGCGTCTCTTTTGTGCGCTTTTTTGTGTGCCGTCTAAACACGGCTGGATTTGTGGCACTCACCCGCTTTGTGTTGCCTGCATGCTAAATAACCTGCCAACGCCGCGGTGGGGGTGGGGGGGGGGCTATAAAAATGAAAATCACGTTGTTGTATACTGACGAACAATATATTCACGACACAAATAGAGATGCTTGATGGTATCGAGGTGGAAATCCAGGTTGGGTTCCCAGACTCCTCTAGACATCGTGGGTTTGGGATGATTAACTTTCAAACCACGATGTCTCATCAAGTGAGAGGTTCTATAACGAGAAAACATATCCTATGTGCACATTTACCTTGAGTACATTGCGTATACAATTCCCGTAATTTTGATTTCACATTCAGCGTAATGAATTGCGTGGTGACATTTGTGTGATGAATATGGCCGTGCCGAACAAAAGCCAATTTTGGGCACAAGACAGGATTCAGAGTGTGGCTCCTCACGCCTATTTTACTAAATCTCCATGGCCATGGGCGATGCTGCTGTGGGGTACTGGTTAGGGACACTAGCCTTGCAATCTCATGGTTGCCGGTTCGATCGCCGACTCACTTTAGAGTTGCCATGGAGTGCGGAATGAGATGGCTGCCCCAGGTT